GTAACCAGCGTTCGGGACGGGCCGAACGCCCGAACCCGAACGCCCGAACGTATGGGACCCCTTGGGGATGCGTTCGGCCGTTCGGGCCGAACGCGGACCAAAAAAAAAAAAGAATAAATTAAAAAAATTCAAACATTCCGAAAAAAAATTCAAACATTCCGAAAAAAAATTATGTTATGGAGAAACATAAACTAAACAACATTTGCCTGGGCATTACATTCAAATTCTTTACCAAATTTGAATTAAAATCCAATACAGAAAATAAACACTATGATAAAATTTCATAAAAATAAGAAAAAATAAAAAGAGAATTAAAATGAGTGAGTGTACCAGCACCTTTTCGACACCGCCATCTTTGCCGATTTTTAATTATTTTTTGGCATTGACAAATTCCCTGAAAATTTACAGATATGTAGTTTGCATAATCAATAACTCATTAAAAACTTTTCAAAAAATAATAAATTTTTTTAGGCCCCGAAATAAAGTGGAAACAAAAAGTTAAAAGTGAAAAAAAACAAAATAGTGAGTGGGCGAGCACGTTTTGACACCTCAATCTTTGACGATTTTTAATGTTTTTTAGGCTTAGCAGAATGACTTCAAAATTTATAGGCGTGTAGGCTACATCATAGAGAACTCACAAAAACAATTCAGAAAAATAAACTTATTTTTAGGCCCCGAACTATTTTTTGGCGGGGGCCGAACCTGGAGGTGTTCGGCCCCCGAACGGGACCCCGAATGCCCGAACGTTCGGGGGCCAGCCCGGAGGCCCCCGAACGTTCGGTCAGGTAACCCTATATATATATATATATATAATTGACTATCTAGACTGTTTGGGATTTTTCCCAAACTGTTTGGTAGATTCCCACGCGTTACGCACCCGTTCGCCACTTTGTTTTCAACTGAGAAAACAACGTTCGACTTGCATGTGTTAAGCATATCGCTAGCGTTCATTCTGAGCCAGGATCAAACTCTGTTTTTTTATTATGGCTTAATTTCTGGAATGTAGGATATATATATATATATCGTCACAAACAGAACATATAAACGACGAACGTCCGAAAAACCAACAAAACAAAAGTCAGGGGAACGACGAATGCTTGATTTCCAACAACATAAAAAAAAAAAAAAAAACGCGTTAGGGAATGCCTGCACCCAAAGCTGGGTAATGGTCCCAGTATTATCTGTTTTGTTTCCAGGTTGTGTGTGAGGAATTCCCGACCCCGTTTCTGGTTAAGTGTAATAAAGAGCAGAGCCTCTTTTTTTAAAAAAAAAACAAAAAAAAACGACGAAAATAAAAGGGAAAAAAAAAAATCCAACAAAATTAAAAAGAGTCCGCGATGAAAAAAACGAAAAAAAAAAAACCACGAAAGCGGGAAACGACGAAAACAGAAGAAAACAAAAGGTCGTGGCAGCGGGAAACGACAAACTTCGAAGGGTAACGAAAACCAACAAAAGAACATAGGACGAATTGACGCGACATTTATTTCACGATCTTTAATATTTTTTTAATTTTTTATTTTTTTAAAATCTTTCGTCAATATCGAGTCTCCGCCTCGGAAGCGGCGGTATAAAAGTCTTCAGTCATATAGGCTGGGAATAATAACTTTGGCAGATTATCTCATCAAGTCAAAATCCTATCTTGTGCGATTTGATAAAAGTGTATTGATTTTTTTTATTTTGTGATCAGATAATTATAAAGGGACTAGGATTATTTTTTTTGGTTTCATGTTTGGTTGGGATTCTCTTAGTCGACCTGCGTGCACTTCGTTCTTAGAAGTTCAACGCCCTAGAAACGGACGACGTGTGGGACCACTTGGCATTAACCAAGCGTACCTATGCTCCAGCGAATGAGCAAACGCCCTCGGCTAACTTACCTTTGAAATTGCACTGCATGTAAAAACTTTCGTACGTGGGTCAGTAGCTCGGTAGGGATACATCCCTGAAGGTGGTAACAACCCCTCAGGGAAGGCAAGATGTGCCCCGCGAAACCCTATCCTGTCGTAGGGGACCGTGGGATGTACAACTGGCACACCCGGTTAGAGCGGCAAAGGGGCGGCGAGACCGCGACAATTTCGGCAGTTCACGAAGTTATTTTGCGTCGTTCCCTAAGTTGGCTCTTGTTTTTTTTTTAATAAATATATTTCTTTTGTTTTGTTTTAACTCTTGCGTGACATAGCCGAGAGGGCTCCCGCACTTTGCGAAGAGGCCGGAGCCGATGCACACGACGCTGTGCGCTTTGCGAGCAAAGAGGATGGGTGCACCCCACGAGAAGTTAGTGGTTTAATAAAACCTAGTTGAAGGAGTTCCTCAAACTGACGCTTGAGTTCCGCCGCCTCCCGAATTGAAAGTCGGTAGGGTGTCTAATGGTGGGCCTGATAGTCAAACACAAGCTGGATAAAATACGCAACACCACACATGGGAGGGATCCTGTTGTATGAGAAATATGGGGGAAAGACGCCGCGGTGCTCTCAAATCAAGTCACGAACGGCGGAGTCTGAGTCGGTCATGAACCACTTGAGTTCCTCATCGTCTGCGTCGGCACATGACGTATGTGTGGACTCGGAAGTGGACGACGTAGGGACCTGAGATGTCGATAGGTATTCGCAGGCTGAGGGGTGAATGTAGAGATGAGAGTCGCGAAGATGGAGAAAGGGTCAGAAAGATCAGGTTTCAAAGAGATAAACTCAACCTTTGGACAGAGTGGATCATAGCGAAGATGATCCATGGCGTTCACCGAGTAAAAGGTGGCGTTCTCCTGGCGTATGAAGTGAGCAAATTGGCGAGGAGAAGTGAAGGAGATGTTTGTGTGGGACCCAGAGGGGCGAGGATCTTGGGAAGGGAGGTCAGGAGGGGTGTCGTCCGTGATGCCAACGATTGAGACGCGATATGTCTGACCACACTTCGTTTTGAGAACGGGTGTCTCGGTCGCCCATTTGGCCTCTGTGCTACGGAACTTGCAAGACCAGAAAGTGCCAAGGATAAAATCGTAACCAGTCTTCAACACATGGAAGTATGTGAAGGAGTGGTAGCGGCGAGACACTTCGGTACTATTACACAACTGGAGAGGGTAAGAGAAAAGTGAAGGCCAAGGACCGTCTGATCAAAGAAGCGTTGCGTCTTGTTATCACCAAGGGTAACGAAGATGAGAGAGTGGAACCCGGAGGTAGCTAGACAAACTTCCTCACCCACGCGAGGGTGAACGGAATCCCCATACAAGTCGGAGTCTTGTAAGGCGTGGTATAGCCTCATAGATGTCCCAAGGCGAATAGGAATAATGAGAAGGGTGCAATCAGGGTCAGAGAGCAGGGCGAGAAAACGACGTCGGATGTTTACATGTCTCGTGAGTCACTTATGACGAGCCTAAAGAATGCTCAAATCCACGAGAGATGACACATCGTCATCTCGAGTTGCCATTTGAGCGCTATAGCGAGT